TAATAGTACCCCTCAAGTCCACCTTTTGGCGGAAAAACAGACCGACATGGTTAGGGGGACTTATGAGGACTCTAATGCACAATCTGAGGTGCTAATGGGTTTAAAAAAGTAATTAACTTTGCCAATTCTTAAATCAATTAGCCCTCAATTATGATATGTACAAAGTACAGTAAATTCCAAATTACTGCTCATTTGACTAAAAATTAAAAACTAATCGACCAATACGTAGACATTTATAACATTCATATCTTTGAATAATTATGCTTTGACAATATCCATAATAGACAAAAACTACGGGCCGGCAACGCGGACCGGGCCCGCTAGTTTAAAATAAAATGAGTGACCTACGTGGACCTACATCTTTCATATGGCAATAATCCGCCCAATGAGAACTCAAAATGCAATTCATTGGAACTGCAGTCAGTGAAATACCGAATATAAAGGGTGCAAAATGGTAGAGCGAATTGGACATTTAGGAAAAAAGAAAGAAATTCTTCCTAAACTTTCAAGATGTCTTAAATCGCTTTTGCAGGTCATGATATATGACCCCCGGATAAGGGTACAACCCTATTTCAAGTATTGTTTACATTTTAACCACATTTTTCTCACACTCATTTTAATTTGATAAGAAACCATCCTCGCAAAATATGATCATGTTTTGGTATAACCATCATATAATTTAAGCCATGTTCGGGGTCTTCGACATTTTTTTCATCTTTAGGCCTTTATTTGGCGTCTTTGTTTCTAAGGGTGTAAAAAACCTCTTCTCATAATATTTTCAATTTTCGGAGTAGAGTCCATCTTGGTCTTGACCACATTCATCAATTGATTTGGCTAAAAAATTGTATTTAGGCAACTCTGGGGTAGAGAATCGTCCCTCAGATAATTGTCCACATAGGCATTTATTCGAATATAGTTCTCACATTAGTGTACCCACAAATCCGCTTTCCTAACCAATGTTTGGTCAGAAAAGAAAATTTGATATACTATTGAATTTGAAACTCCAAAGAGAATATTGGTTGGGAACGTAGATGTGGGATTAACATCTACATGCCATAAACTCCGAAATATCAAATTGTGGCAGAAACATGAAAAAATCACGAATATTAACTTTTTTGTTCGTTATTGAATTATACTATGATGAAAAATATGGACTTTATGGGTTCTCCAACTCACAATTTAAATGACAAAAATAAATTAATTAATATTTCACGGTAATGAGTGTAAAAAGCAATTATCTTTGACTATTTTGAAATCATTCCGCCCTCAATTATGAGGTGGACAAAACTAAATACCACGCAGCACGGTATTTTTAACATTGGAAATTCAATACCAAAAATTTAGCTGAGTTTTCACATGGGGCTATTATAGAAGTTCTATATCATACAGGTTTTAACACTCAATTATAGCCTTAGGCTGAAAAATAAGATCAGGCTATTCAAAATATCTAAAACCGACGGTAGATTATTATCTATTATAATTTTTCCCATGAATGTTTATTTCTATTTAGAAATTACTATGGAGTTATTTTACTTATAATAAAAATTGTGCCGCTTTCATAATTCTATAATGCTTAAAAAAATATGCATTATAGACAAAAAGTAGGGGCCGGCAACGCGGACCGGGCCAGCTAGTAAAATATAAAAAAACACTACAAATGTACATTAGAAAAAAGTAAGTCAAAATGGAAAAAAATCATGCACAATAAAACATTACTATTGTACATTTGAAAAGTCAAAATGAAAATGTTAATATATCACATTTTTACGCGATTTTTTTGGATATTATCCTTTTCGGAGAGTAGACAACTCCGAATTTGTGTGAATCGTTAAAATTAATCCAGCGGTTCTTAAGTTATAAGCGTAGTAACTAACACAACTTACATTTATATATATAGATATTAGGAAATTTAGTTTGAAATCTATTTTTTTGTCGATTGGCCTCCCGGAATGGTTTCGAAAGGCATTTCTGGCTACGTCGGTGGACTGTACTAGTTCCTTTATACGGGAATCTGGAAGCTTGTCATACTATTCTTTGACCCATAAAATCGACTTTATAAAAACATCTTATGAGAGGAACTTGAAGATTATCAATATGAATATCAGTGAGCAGTTCGATATAAAATCTCTCTTTAGCTCTCTATATATAGACTCTGTTTTAATAGACCTTCATTCCCAGCTCGTCTGCATCTTCTCAAAATTTCGTTAAAAAAAAACCGCGTTTCAGAGCCTTAAGGTCTGCAGAAAATTTCCAAAAATTCTTTAAAACCCATGAGGGCCTTCTGATATTTTTTTAAACATTTTTTTTAAAGTCCACTTTAAAGGGGCTTTAGATATTTTTTTAAACATTTTTTTTAAAGTCCACTTTAAAGGGGCTTTAGATATTTTTCAAAAATTTTTTAAAAGATCCACGTTTTAAGGCCTTCAGAAATTCTTTCTTTAAAAAATCCACGTTTTAAGGCCTTTAGAAATTCTTTCAAAAAATCTTTAAAAAATCCACGTTTTAAGGCCTTTAGAAATTCTTTCAAAAAATCTTTAAAAAATCCACGTTTTAAGGCCTTCAGAAATTCTTTCAAAAAATCTTTAAAAAATCCCCGTTTTAGGGTCATCTGACATTTTTCAAAAATTCTTTAAAAAATCCACGTTTTAAGGCCTTCAGAAATTCTTTCAAAAAATCTTTAAAAAATCCCCGTTTTAGGGTCATCTGACATTTTTCAAAAATTCTTTAAAAATCCACGTTTTAAGGCCTTCAGAAATTCTTTCAAAAAATCTTTAAAAAATCCCCGTTTTAGGGTCATCTGACATTTTTCAAAAAATCTTTAAAAAATCCACGTTTTAAGGCCTTCAGAAATTCTTTCAAAAAATCTTTAAAAAATCCACGTTTTAAGGCCTTCAGAAATTCTTTCAAAAAATCTTTAAAAAATCCACGTTTTAAGGCCTTCAGAAATTCTTTCAAAAAATCTTTAAAAAATCCACGTTTTAGGGTCATCTGACATTTTTCAAAAATTCTTTAAAAAATCCACGTTTAAAGGCCTTCAGAAATTCTTTCAAAAAATCTTTAAAAACTCCACGTTTTAAGGCCTTCAGAAATTCTTTCAAAAACTTAAAAAAATCCACGTTTTAAGGCCTTCAGAAATTCTTTCAAAAACTCTTTAAAAATCCACGTTTTAGGGTCTTCTGATATTTTTAAAAAATTCTTTAAAAAATCCACGTTTTAGGGTCTTCGGATATTTTTAAAAAATTCTTTAAAAAATCCACGTTCAAGGTCCAAGGCCTTCAGATATTTTTTAAAAAAATCTTTCAAAAATCCATATTTTTCAAAACTTCTTTAAAAAATCCACGTTTTAAGGCCTTCAGATATTTTTCAAAATTCTTTATAAAATCCACATTTTGAGGCATTCTGATTTTTTTCAAAAAACCACAAGGGCTATCGTTAGAGCATTTAAATGTGAATAAATATTTTGTGTCTCGTACCATCGCTCGTTACCGTGATGCTGGCAGCGTAGTCCGACGTCAAGGAAGTGGACGGAAGAAAACAGCAACATTAACAGAAAATGTTCGATAAGTAATGAAGCGACTTGATCGAGATTCGCGTCGCTCGTGAGCTGAATATATCTCAATATTCCATTCGGCAAATGAAACGAAAAATGAGCTTGGTGTAAAGCCCTTGACATTTCAAAAAGTGCAAGAACTTACACCGCAACAGAAAGAAAATGGACTCAAAAGAGCTAAAGAATTGCTTCGCTTGGCCGAAAGTGGTGAACTGCCGAATTTGGTTTTCTCCGATGAGAAAACATTCGTTATCCAGCAGTTTCTAAACAAACAAAACGATTGTGTTTACTTGCCAAAGAGGTCAGCTGAAAATGTGCCCCTTCGGTAGGCCACCAGAACTCAAGCGGCGGCCATGGTGATGGCGTGGGTCGCCATAACAGCCGATGGTCGCTCTCCGCTCGTATTATTCGACTGTGGCATCAGAACAAATGTCGAATATTATCGCGAAACTATTCTGGAGGGGTTTTAAAGCCTTGGGCACGCAAACATTTTGGCCGCAGACCTTGGACATTCCAACAGGACTCAGCACCATCGCACTCAGCACACGCCACCCAAGAATGGTTACAAAATGAGGTTCCTCGCTACAATTCCAGCTCACAATGGCCACCAAAATCTCCGGATACCAATCAGTTGGACTATTGAGTCTGGAGTATTTAGGAAAGCAAGGTTAGCACTAAAAAATACCAAAGTGTCGATCACCTCAAGAAAGCGCTTCGCCGGGTATGGGCCAAAATACCGCAGAGAAAAATTCGGGCAGAGTGTGACGGTTTTATTGGCCGTTTGAAGGCCATAATTCGTGCTAAAGGTGGCCAATTCGAACAAATCTAAACTTTTTCTACAATTTGATCGTATTTCCGACATTTTTTGCTTAAAAATAAATTTAAAAATTATGGCGTTTGACTTTGTTGCAGTTTTTTTGTCTCACCCTGTAATATAGTCAATCGATATTGATGATAAAATATAGTCAGTTCGCCTAGAAAAAGTATTTGTGCTCCTGAAATTTGTTTTTGCTCTTTTCTTGACGCTTAATGAACTCACATGAAAGTATGAAATTCTCTCTGTTGTTTTACCCTTAGGCCTACTACAAATAAAATATTTTTGTCATAACCCCCATTTCTTCTGCTTCCCATCCTGATAAAACTTGTGCTATCAAAAGGAGTTTTTAAAAATAAACCATCTAAGGTGCATAAAGTAGGATAGGCCAATAAAAAGTATTCATATTCCAGTTAACAGACAACAGGCCGCTAAAACACCATAATTTTTTGTATGACTAATGGTCATGTCGTAGGTATAGTCACTCATAACTACAGAATAATCTAAACTACCGAAAAAATCCCGCTCCGTCACAAGTTATCCATCAAAATTCAATCGATCAGTTGCAACAAAAACAACAACATATAACTAATTACAACAAGATAAGAATGCATATCATATCGAAATTATTTATAAATACTTCGAAGAAAAATGTCTTGGATTCAGTTTGAACATTGTCAGCGAACAACGAAAACCATGAACAAGAAGTGGTCTAAATTTTTGACAATTTTCGTTTTGGCAATTTTGGCTAGCCAAGTCAGTTCAGCAGGTTGGTGATTTATTTAAGAAAATTATAAAAGTTTATTCATTTTCAACACACAATTTCACATTTTTTTATAGCTATCAATTATGATGATTCTGCTGATCCCGCTGAGACCATTGACTTTGGCACAGCTTTGAAAATGTTCTACATGGCATTCCAACGTTTGATGCCATGTGGCTATCCACCACTCAATATTCCCGTTTTGGCACCTTTCACAATGGATTTCTACAGTTTTAATCTAACAAATGGTTACTATAGGTACGTTTGTATGGATAACTGGAAAGCAAAGTTGACCAGCATGAGCCCTCCCCTAATGTATTAATTATGATCAAATACGTCGAACATTAATATCCATTACTATATGTATTTTGTAATTTTTGCTTCTTTTCTCTTTAGCGTTGTTGGTAACGTCTCCAATTTCATGGTAACCGGTTTGAACAATTTCAAATTCCTTGGTTTCGCCTACAACAGCACCACCAATCGCACCTCCTTCGATATTTTCTTCCCCCAGGTGCAAATGTTGGCTGAAAGTCAAATGGACGCCATGGCCTTTGTTGCTGGCTACCCCGTGAGAATGGCCGACTCTGGCTTGTTGGATGTCAAAGTACAAGATTTCCGCATGGTTGGAGATTTGGTACTATCACCATCGACCGTCGAACCTAATAGTTTGGAAATATCCGATTTTGTTTTACATTTCTCCATCGGTGATGCCATCTACAATAATTGGAATAATTTGTGGGATATTTCTGGCAATAATTTCATAAATAAATTTGCCGGAGAATTTACCAAGATGTGGGTGCAACAGATACAAGCTCAAGTGGAGCAGATCTATGCTCAATTGATGTTGCCCATTGTAAATGGCAAATTGGTTGGCATCACAATGGAAGATTTGATTAATTTCTTTGTCGAAGAATCCATACAATTTAATATGGCTAATTGTACATTGTAAGAAAAAGGTACATATGCCTTGACATATGTATGTATGTGTAAATATGTAAAAAGTTTTAAATAAATTATTATGCAAGACTGTGTTATTTTTTGTGGGAAAGGAAAGGGTTTTACGCCGAAGGGAGTTAAAATAGACGAACTGAACTGAAGGTTCAGTGTGAAGTAGCTGAAGTGAGTTTTTTGGACGAGTTGAAGAGGCTCTTTGTAGACGTTTATAAGATGGGCGGTCAAGTTGCCCATATGAGTATATAAATATTTGCCGCAGAGAAGAACCTTTGTAGTGGTCCTTAATTTAAATTTAATTTATTTTTAGTCTAGATATGGATCTTAACATCATGTAATTGTATGAACAAAGAACCGGCTAAAGGCAGTCTTAATAGACAAACTAAATCGGGAGACTTTATCTAAAGAGGAAGTAATTATAGATGGCCTCTAAGGAGGCACTCTGAAGACGAAATCTTTGTGGACGAACTGCGAAGGGAGGGAGGGAGAGAAGGGAGATTTTATAGACGAAACTATGAAAAAGGAGTCCTTATAGACGAGCGAAAGCAGTCCTTATAGACGTGTGGTATAAAGAGTCTTTATAAAGGACCCTTTTAATAATATTAAAAAAACCAGAAGCTCCTAAAAAGTGGATTTTTTAAGAATTCTGTATTCTTGTATTTTTAAAGAATTTTTGAAAGATATCTGAAGACCCTGAAACATGCACTTTTTAAACAAATTTTAAAAGATGTCTGCAGGCCCTAAAACATAAATTTTCAAACATTTTTTGAAATGTATCTGAAGATCCTAGAACTTGGATTTTTTGAAAAATATATGAAGGCCCTTAGAATGGGATTTTCCGATGCAGATTCCGAACGCCCTAAAACATGGATTTTTAAAAATTTTGAAAGATGGATTTGGACATGGATTTTTAAACAATTTTCGAAAGAAGGCTCTAAGACATGGATTTTTTAAACAATTTCGAAAGGAGGCTCTGAAACGTGAATTTTTAAACAATTTTAGAAGGATGTCTAAAGGTCCTGAAACGTGGATTTTTAAACAATTTTAGAAGGATGTCTAAAGGTCCTGAAACGTGGATTTTTAAACATTTTAGAAGGATGTCTAAAGGTCCTGAAACGTGGATTTTTAAACAATTTTAGAAAGAAGGCTCTGAGACGTGGATTTTTAAACAATTTTAGAAGGATGTCTAAAGGTCCTGAAACGTGGATTTTTAAACAATTTTAGAAAGAAGGCTCTGAGACGTGGATTTTTAAACATTTTTAGAAGGATGTCTAAAGGTCCTGAAACGTGGATTTTTAAACAATTTTAGAAAGAAGGCTCTGAGACGTGGATTTTTAAACAATTTTAGAAGGATGTCTAAAGGTCCTGAAACGTGGATTTTTAAACAATTTTAGAAAGAAGGCTCTGAGACGTGGATTTTTAAACAATTTTAGAAAGAAGGCTCTGAGACGTGGATTTTTAAACAATTTTAGAAAGAAGGCTCTGAGACGTGGATTTTAAACAATTTTAGAAAGAAGGCTCTGAGACGTGGATTTTAAACAATTTTAGAAAGAAGGCTCTGAGACGTGGATTTTTAAACAATTTTAGAAAGAAGGCTCTGAGACGTGGATTTTTAAACAATTTTTGAAAGAAGGCTCTGAGACGTGGATTTTTAAACAATTTTAGAAAGAAGGCTCTGAGACGTGGATTTTTAAACAATTTTTGAAAGAAGGCTCTGAGACGTGGATTTTTAAACAATTTTTGAAAGAAGGCTCTGAGACGTGGATTTTTAAACAATTTTAGAAAGAAGGCTCTGAGACGTGGATTTTTAAACAGTTTTTGAAAGAAGGCTCTGAGACGTGGATTTTTAAACAAATTTTGAAAGAAGGCTCTGAGACGTGGATTTTTAAACAATTTTTGAAAGAAGGCTCTGAGATGTGGATTTTTAAACAATTTTCGAGAGGAGGTTCTGAGACGTGGATTTTTAAACAATTTTAGAAAAAAGGCTCTGAGACGTGGATTTTTAAACAATTTTAGAAAGAAGGCTCTGAGACGTGGATTTTTAAACAATTTTAGAAAGAAGGCTCTGGGACGTGGATTTTTAAATAATTTTAGAAAGAAGGCTCTGAGACATGGATTTTTAAACAATTTTCGAGAGGAGGTTCTGAGACGTGGATTTTTAACAATTTTAGAAAGAAGGCTCTAAGACGTGGATTTTTAAACAATTTTAGAAAGAAGGCTCTAAGACGTGGATTTTTAAACAATTTAGAAAGAAGGCTCTGAGACGTGGATTCTTAACAATTTTAGAAAGAAGGCTCTGAGACGTGGATTTTAACAATTTAGAAAGAAGGCTCTGAGACGTGGATTCTTAAACAATTTTAGAAAGAAGGCTCTGAGACGTGGATTCTTAAACAATTTTAGAAAGAAGGCTCTGAGACGTGGATTCTTAAACAATTTTAGAAAGAAGGCTCTGAGACGTGGATTCTTAAACAATTTTAGAAAGAAGGCTCTGAGACGTGGATTCTTAAACAATTTTAGAAAGAAGGCTCTGAGACGTGGATTCTTAAACAATTTTAGAAAGAAGGCTCTGAGACGTGGATTCTTAAACAATTTTAGAAAGAAGGCTCTGAGACGTGGATTCTTAAACGATTTTAGAAGGATGTCTAAAGGTCCTGAAACGTGGATTTTGAACAATTTTAGAAAGAAGGCTCTGAGACGTGGATTTTTAAACAATTTTAGAAAGAAGGCTCTGAGACGTGGACTTTTAAACAATTTTAGAAAGTTATCTAAAGGATTTTTTTCTAAGAATTTATAAAAGATATCTGATGGCCCTAAAACTTTGATTTTTTATAGAATCTCTGAAAGAAACAATAAAAGGACATGTTATATTTGAACACAAAAAACCTGGAATTTTCGAAATATATCCCAAGCCCCTAAAATGTGGATATTTATAAAAATGTTAGAAAGATATCTGAAGGTTCTAAACGTGGATTTTTATAGAATTTTTGAAAGATTTCTGAAGGCCCTTCAATGTGGACTTTTATAGAATCTTTAAAAGAATTTTGATGACCTTAAAAGGAGGATTTATTAATAAAAAATGTGAAATATTTCTAAAGGTAAAATAAATTTTAAAGAATTTTTGGATATGAAGGATATGTAATATTTAAATACAACAATCGTGGATTGTTTGAAGGATTTATAAAAAGAATTTTTAAAAAATATCTAAAGGCCCTAAAAAGTGGATTTTTTAAAGAATTTCAAAAATGTTTCTAGAGACCTCAAAACGTGAATTTTTTAAATAATGGTTAAAGATTTTTGAAGGCCCGAAAAAGTGGGCCTTAAGAAATTTCTTAACGATTTCTGAAGGCCTTGAAACGAATTTTTGAAAGATTTCTGAAGGCCTAAAACACGACTTTTTAAAATAATTTTGAAAAAAAAATCGAAGGCCCTAAAATTTTGACATTTTAATGAATTTTTAAAAGAATGACATGTGAAGGTTCTAAAACGTGGAATTTTTAAAGAAATTTTAAAAGATATGTGGAGGTACTAAAGGGTGGACTTTTTAAAGAAATTTTAAAAGATATACAAAGGTCCTAAAACTTGGACTTTGTTAAAAAAAATTAAAAAGGAGATGTTTAATAAAGACCTAAAAAATTTGACTTTGTTAAAAATTGTAAAAAGAAGATGTTTAATAAAGACCTAAAAATTTGACTTTGTTAAAAATTTTAAAAGAAGATGTTTAATAAAGACCTAAAAAATTTGACTTTGTTAAAACATTTAAAAAGGAGATGTTTAATTAAGTCCTAAAAATTTGACTTTTTTAAAGATTTTTTTTAGACCTTAAACGATTTTGGATGCTTTCAAAAAATGGATATTTTAAATGCGTTCCCTGGGCTTTGTGAGGGCCCCGAAACGTGAATGTTTTAGGAATTTTTCTATGCTCTTTTAACATCCTTTTTTTAATGGAATTTAACTTTTCATTTGAAACCCGGAATTATACCCACATTCACAATCTGCTGTAATTTTCATGTCATTATTTGTTGTATTACACAATGCTAACCGACTCGTCCCTACGACCTCTAGCAGCTTCGAATCTTTGTGTGCACATCAAAGCAAAATTGTTAAGTCTTGAACTTGTTCATTTTACCACAACAACTTCTGCCATCATATAAACAAACTTTTCCTAGCATTACTACGCTTAGCTTAGCAATAATGCCGATTCCATATCAGCCCGCATTAGGCTCACATTTTTTTTTCTGCGTAATTAAGTTTTTCGTTTTAGTTTTGGATTACCACTTCCTTTTGTCAGTTTACATTAGAAATTCCCGTATATCCTTACCACTTATCTACCATTAAGTTGACCACAATATTTCCTATGCCCATTGTTTTGGGCTGCCACTGAAGTTGATGTGGCTGGCTGACTGGCTGGCTTGCCTAAATGCAGTTCCGTTTTGGTCTTTTTGCCTGTTTGTTTGGAATAATTCCAGAGTTTAGTTAATTAAAAATTTAAGTCATTAAAACCACAACAATGATGCTCGCAACCTGTAGCTTTTTCGGTAATGTTTTGTAAATTGTTAAATAAAAAAAAACTTTTGGTAATTCGGGCAGGAAATAAACTCCCACCTAAAAGCATTTTAGTTTTGGTGGTCCCACTCCACAAGGCAGAATGGAGGAAAGTTTTCAGTAGATCTGTTTTAAATGGGGGGAAAGAAGTTGTGATTTACTAAGACAGTGGGTCGGAAAATAAAAAAGACGGAGACCGAAAGTATATGAGACCTGAAAGGATTAAGAAAAAAAGGTCTTCTAGTTTTTTCTAAGAGATATTTCTAGGAACTGAGTGAGTGATCAGTGAGTAATTTTCTCATTTGTGGTCCTCTATGAGAAGACCCTGTGGACTTTAATGAAAATACCTTTTCCTCTTCTATAAGATGACCTTTCGAAGAATATGTTGTCTTCTATACAGAGGAAGAATATATACATGGTGAGATAAAAAAAAAACTGCAGCAAAGTCAAACGCCATAATTTTTACATTTTTTTAAATTTTATTGAATAAAAGCAAAAAATGTCGGAAATAGCATCAAATTTTAGAATACGTTT